AGTAGTAGCAGCAGTAATGGTGGTAGTGGTAGTGGCAATACTACTACTTCTACGACGACGACTACTACTACTGCGACTGTAATGTGCGCAGCTATCCATTCATCCACTCATTATCTATCCATCCATCAACCCCGGAGATCCACCCTTAAAACGTCTATAGGCACTCCTTTCATGAGTCCATCTATAACCCTTCTACAAGCCCTCAAGACAACATGCTTCGCCAATTCCAAACCAACGTGAAACCAATGTATTGGAATGTACAGTGGATCGGCCGTACCACAAGACGCGTACGCGTCTCGTCCATCGAGACGGTTGGCAATTCCGAACGCGACTACTTACGGCACCACACGCGCGGCATCATTTTGTGCGATCGAACACGCCAAGTACTGCAAAAGCTTGCCAAGTCCGAGGACAAATCGTCACGGCACCACATGCGCCATTTTGCGATGCACGGCGAGTGTCGCTGGCCCGGCTCAGCACGTTAAATGATAAACAGCGAATAGTTAGGAAAAGATCTAGTTAGTTACTTGCATTCAGAGACAGTAGGCAACCTCACGAAAACCAATGCTGCGCCTCTATACAACCTCACGACACCGTTAGAGACAACCTCGTCGCCACCGCACGCCACCGAAGCAACATCATAATTGAAAACCGTCTCCACAGTAAACCCATCGCCACACTTTCGGAAATAAGGGTGCGAAACCACACAGCAAATTACGCCAAGCTGACACAGAACGCGACGTAAAACACCCCTCCGAAAGGGGTGCACTCAAACCTCAGAGAGAGCCATGAATGAATGTGGCCTGCAGGGGCCGTGATGCAACGAAGAAGTCAACATCCACTTCGATTCATCCCGAGTGACGATCCGCTGGAAAGAGAGGGTGCCCTCATAAAAGCCCTCGAAAGCCAGCCCTTGCATCGCAGAATTCGATTCTTGCGGTCCAGCGGCAAGGCATCCAGCTGCTGCTTCTGTAGGTGCCACTCCTGGGCCCGAAGGCCTGCTGCCCGCACTGGGCACCTAGACCCCACATGTTGAGCCTGTTGAGCTTTAACCTGAAGCTGCTCGCCAAACTACAAGCAGGGGCCGGGATCGATTGTACTTGCTTGTCTTAGCTGCGGGGGGAGTCGGTCTAAGTCTCGCACAAAGCCACTTCCAAGAGCACACATAAGAACAACGAACACGATTAAACTCTGCATGAGAAGTCATGATGTTGTTTATGCTTCGGTCTGCTACGGTACACGCACCCCTCATAGCACGTCTTCAGAATCCGTTTGATATAGGGTGCTGTTCGACCCTCGGGCAGCGAGGGACAATTGCATGTGTTGCCTAGCGGGGCAGCAACAATTCTGCGGGGCTGCCGGGGGACTGGAATCAGGGAGTTGCAGTCCACTCACCCGGCCTCCACGTGCAGACTTAGGGCTTGCGTGCAAGGGTTGACTTTCATGCTTTTGTCGCTGCAGGGTTTCTGCAGACTGCCAACAAGGCTCGTCGACCCGCCGGAGAATGAGATCCAGCTTCGAATCCACTGAAGACCCGGGTTGGCCGGAAGCGATCGCCATGGATGTCGATTCCACCAACAGGAGCGAAATTTCAGATCCAGGTTCAGATAAGCTAGTGCGGTTCACGCGAAATGGATTTTGGAGCTCATCCTAAACTCCTAAGCCCCAAGAAGCCCAAGACTGACCTGCGATCCATGCAGACATTCGGAGAGTTGTTGCGAGCCGTGAACATATGCTCAAGGTCTCTCGTGACCTCACATGGTCTAAGATGATAATGAACCTTTGCCAAGACTTCTCCGCCACTTCTGGACGCACACCCCTGATGTCAGCGGCTTCAGTCGAGAAGCGAACAAACTTCTCAATCGTGGATTGATCCGCATGTTTGTTTATAACAGAAATTCAACGACTGAGGTCTTGCAGGGCCTGGGAGCACATGCTGCAAGCACAAAAATCAGTAGCCGCCACATAGAGACACGCCTAACAAACAGTGTCCGAAACAGATCACGCGACTTCCAAACCGTGAAGCTGCATGTATGTTCATTTAACCACTGTCTGCCATGGCACGCGTCGTCAAGACCCAACCCACACCCCTGAGACTCCTCTGTATGATTTCTACTATATTAGAAACAATTCTAGTACCGCTGTTCCATCGTGCACACTAGACTTTACCAGGTCAAGGAAGCGGACCTCATGAATCCACACTCTCAAACACTCGAAAAGATTCCAGGCAGTTAAAAGCTAATTCGGGCCCAATAAGCCTTCTTGTAGGATCATCCGTAGAAGTCAGAGTCTACTTGGCCTATCTCGGCCTCATTCGCCACCTGTGCTCTGAAACCAGCGACTGGAGACAAGTACACTTATGAAAAGTATATATAAGACTGCGAAATCGTTGAAGTGGCTGGCCAGTTTTAGGGCGTTCTCTTAACGGGATTGCTTAAAACCACTTTACGCAGTCTTTCTGCCAGGAGATGTCCAAAAGACCATAATCACGAGCTGCGATTTGATAGCAAAGTAATGCCTTACAAATCACAACCTATAAGGATTGGATTCTATTCTCGACAATAGACTAAGGTCTCAGGCGATTTGATGTTGAGGCGTTAGGTCTTCACGGCTTGTGGGAGGTCAACAGCCTTACTCACATGCTACACACCAATCCCCAAACCCAAACCCACAAGCCCCAAAGCCGGCGCAACCTAAACCATTTGAGAATGAACGAACGAGGGCTAAAGCTGGCTTAAAAAGATATGGCGAGGGAGTAAGGAACCGGGGCTTCTGTCGGATATTCCGAACTAGGACGCGGACGCAATAAATATCTGGCCGTCACAACTCGAACAGAATCTGATCGCACAACCATCTGTAAAACCTGGAAAACAGAAGCCTAAGCCAATTGTAGCGGAGTGCACAAATCACAAGTGGATGTCCCAGCCATACGTAGGCCCCGCTTACAGTAAGGGCTACCTCAAGGGACTAGAGTACGTAGGTATACGCGGACTTGTATTTCCTTGTAAGGTCTCCTGCCTTTAACCCTCACACCCTCAAACCCTCAGGACCAAAACCTTATTATAAACCCCTAAACCGCAGATCCCTGCTAATGGGCTCGACACAACCCGGCCAGACCCCCGTGCCACCTGGAGCTCATGGCTCGAAAATGGATTGGAAAAAAGGGCTGCGCAAGGGCAAAAAACAGAGTTAAAACCTCAAGGCGTAACCTCAAAGCGACTTTCCCACATTCTCCACCCTACGTATATATATATATATATACATGTATATATATATATATATACATGTATATATATATATACACATGTATATATATATATATATAAATAACAGGCCACTCATCCATGGATCCACTGTTGCACACAC